TGGATGATGGGATGGCTGCTGCAGCCATCAAAGCAAAAGCTGCAACTGGAGGGAAGGAGCAACTTACCCGCAAGTAAATACCAGTCAAATACAGTGCAAGTGCGATAGGGATGGGGGCGCAACTCAGGTAGGTACGGATAGAGAGTGTGAGAGAGGTGGATGGTGGATGGTGGGGGTGGGCACTGAGAGGGCCTTGACCGGGAAGCAACGTCCTGAAACATGACGGCTGCCTGTGTTTCCAAAGTATCTGTACTTTGCGTCCGTACTCTTACTACGGATACTCTCGACTCCTCAACTCTCTGCCACTACTGTTGCCACTACTACCATTGCAGTAGCCAGCTACCCATGCGAGCAGGTAGGTATATGTGCTTGCTTTTTCTTCGGGCATCTTGATAATGAGTGCGAACCGGAGACTCTCCAAGGGAACCCTGGCACGGCATCAAGGCACAGGCTGCGATTACGACGGCCCTCCCGATGTGACCCCCTCGCGATGTCCCAAAATAAAACCATCTCCAGCAGCATGCATACGGCACAGATCTATCTGCAGTTCACAACCGCTCGGCTCTAGAACGCCTATATTTGGTTGAGGTATTTTAAGATGACGGACCGGACGAACTTCGATACCGCTGGCCAAATTTGAATTCCCATGGAGATAGATGCCTTACTTAAGGCACTCGTTGTATTGATGGATCATGTGATGATGAGGCATCGAGGACCAATTGGCGAAGAGTTGGGCTACCGAGGTACGTACTCGCTTTCTGGCGCCTCCCTCCTCAAGGATACTTCATCGGTACCCAGACCCTTACCCTGTTTGCTTCCCTTCGCAATTCTTTCCCTCCAGTTCCTTACCCGTCCAGAGCCGCCCTTTTCGTGAGATGCCATGCAGCAGCTTGACAGATGCAACCCCAATCTAAACGAGACTTCCCAATGGAATGGGGACCCTTCTTTCCGCGCAAGCTAATGAAATCTAGGGAGAGCGACTACGTACGTCCAAGACACCGCTTTCGACGGGTATCATGGCGGCACGGCCGACCACGAGGCGTCGACACTGAATAGTTCGCCTACTAGCCATAGATAGCCCAGTGGCCTGAGATATTTGGTCTCAGCTGGCTTCTCATCCGTGGGACATTCCACCAACGCCTTCAGATCGGCCGCTAGTTCTTTTCCAGCCATTGTCTGACCATGCGCTGTTCTTGCTTCTGCGCCCAGAGGGATATGGCTCGCGACCAATCTCTTCATCACTTTCTTGGCCTCCTTGCCTCCGTGACACGTTTGGCCCTTTTGTTCATTAGGGAGCGGGATGGATAAAAAGGCGAAGAAAAGGAAGAATGTCAAGGGGCCAAAGAGCACTGGAATGCCCAACATGCTCCTGTTCAGGATAGAATGATTTCGCGTCTTTTGCAACCCTCGCCCCCAACACACTCCTTGGTTCCGTCCGTCACACCGCCAAGACTTAGATGCACCTTTCTAGTCCATCGAGCTCCGTCTCCGGCCATACATACCCGCTGGAGCGTCGAACTAGCCCGCGGGTAAACATGACAGGAAGAAACATGCTCGTGAACCGGCCCGCGACGGACGCCACAGATGCAGTCATCAATGCTGTAAACATGCAATACGAGCCACTCCAGGGCCGACGTTCACGGAAACAATGACGAATGTGTCTCCGGCTCAGGATACTCCATTGGCTGACGACGCTGGCGACAGCGGAGCGTGCTAGGCCGGCCTCTTCCACTCGCCCGGCTCACGTGGAGCCGGGGCGCCGTCGAGGCTGGGGAGGCCGGGCGCGCGCGTCCCTGGTGGCTTGCAATGGACCCTGTGGGGGACACTCACGCAAGAATGCGGTGCTCATCCATCCTCCCCTCATGCCACGTAATGACCAAGGCACCGCACCGTAGACCACACAGCGTGACAGCCTCGTGGTCTGTCTGGGGAATGCTGAAACGCTTGGGGGATGAGTTATCGAAGGGACGAGACTGGCACGGAGCGAATGGTTCCCAGATTCCACACAGCCACTAGCATGTTCATCGCGAGGGATGTTAAGCCAGATAATCCGACGACCGATGGCCCCCAAGTCTAGCAAGCGGGCCTACGCCGTACCATAGCAACTAATTTTGGCGCCCAAAAGGGAGCCGGCATGACCATCGAATCCCCGTTCCTCCCGGCTGTGTGGGCTTGCATGCTTGCGTCTTCAGATGAGATTGGCGCAGGGGCATTGACGATCATGGATCAGGACGATGGACGGCATTTCCAGCAACAGATGCCAGACACTGTGCGCTACTGCCCAGTCAAAACATATGACTTGCTCTTCGCTCGTTTCAACACCCCCATGTCCTAGACATTTGAGAGTCTCGTCAACGGTTGGCCGTGGCAGACTTCGCGGGAAACAGTGGAGCAAGTCGACAGACGATAGGAAGAAGATGCCGTTCCGGATGAGATGCAGCGCGTTTTTTTGCTGTTCATGCTGAAGGGCTGTTGGAATGAGCCGCGACAGCGGCCAAGACACGGTGCATTCCTTCAGATGTCTCGAGACATTGGCCACAAGGAGCGAGGCTGGAAGCAGGCGAGGGACACTAATGTCTCAGGGAGCAAACCTTACAATTTGAGCATTGATTGTTCAGTCAAACTTTATCCGCGAGAATGACTGACAGCTGGACATTTGGTGAAGCCGCTGGATGGGGACGACGCCGAAGGACCCGAGAAAACCGGCGCAACCAGAGAAACGGCGCCGAGTGTCCCTCAAGAGCAGCCGCCATCCCAGGTGCAGTAGCTCCATCGAAACCCTCTCTGTGTCAAGGCCGCGTCCCACGGTCCACAGAGTGACGCGTGTGCGAATAGGATCGGATCACTGAAGGTTCACGCTGGGATGCCGGCGAGAGCGAGAGTGCAGACAATTAGACAAAGTTGGGGCGGCTGTCGGAGAGAGTTGGGCGCACATCGGGCTTTCCGTTGGTGGTCAAGCTACTTACGGAGGATGGCTGGTCGAGCTGCTTGACTTAACACCTCGAAGCGGACGACGAGGCTGCGTTCGTCCCTGCTCGAAGCATCGGCAGCAAATGGCAGAGAGTAATTGCTGTAGGGGAGTCCGCACCGGCCAGCAACAAGTGAGGTCTTATGTGTCCGTACTCATGTGTCCCACGCCCTACGTCAATAGCCATGGCGACGGGACGGTGACTTGTCCGTCTGGAGCGAAGCTAACCTCGAGGTCGAATGCGCTGCATACGGGACTTGGTGGCAGACTCTGTGGTGTTGCAGAGATGTGACGGGTACGACAGGTGAACAGAGACTTGCAGATTTTCGAGTCGGCTTGGGCGGGGCTGGAGCTTACGAAGGGTTAGTGGCTTGGCGCCAACCTTCCCGTCGCGATGCGGGCCACAGCATGTGCCTTATGAAAACACAGTGTGCGCTACAAGACTCTGTTTTGGGAAGAGAAGGAAGCCACGGTGGCTGACGAGGGCGAGACAGGCGGAGAGAGAGAAACTGCAGAAAAGAAAGGCGGACGCCAGCAGCCAGCAGCCAAAAGTTAGCAGTTAGCAGTCGGCAGTCGGCAGTCAGCTTCCGTCCAGTTCAAGAAACTCGTGGGCTTGCGTCCGGTTGGATTGGTGGCTCTCGATGCAGCCATCTCGATCTGAAGGTGCTATTTTGTGCGTTCGTGTGCTTTGTACGGAGTACAGTGAGGACTCAAACATATGAATACATCCGCATTTCCCTAATCTCCCGCATTTTCACCACCTCACTTCCGCCAGCCACAGAACTAGCAAACTTTTGATTTGCATAATAAAAGTAAATTTAGAAGAGAGCTCTGGGTTTGAATGTTAACCCTCTATTTGATGAACTTCTGGTTGTAGGAAGTAAAATAGATGTAAGGGGGAAGACGCGTTGGGACGCGGGTTTGGGTGGGTGTATTCAGGTCTTTGAGTTCCCACTGTAAGCGCATTCAAGAGCTTGTGTCCGCAATCAATGCCCCCCAAACCCGAGTCCAGGGAAATGGACCACTGTCCAGACGGCTTGTAGCCTTGTACCGTGCGTTCCCCTCAGGGAAGACATCGCGGCGGCTGCGGGGGCCAGCGCAGGGTCTGGCCTTGTCTCGTTGTCCAGATGGGATGGCTGGCTACTTTATGGTCCACGCCGCCGGATCGAGGGGCAACATGGCCATCGCTGAGCTGGTTCTCATTGTTTTGCTTGAGCCTGCGCGCCATACGTTCAAGGTAGTGTTCTTGCAATGCGGCCCCATCAGCGCGCGCGAGTCTGTGTGGATGAGTGATGGAGTAAGGGTGACAGAGTGTGTGATGGACGTGAATCTGAGGTGCGAGCTGGTCAAGCCACGAATCGCACGTCGCAAGTCCCGGTACGGGGTCGTGGGGCCCGCACCCTCCCCTGCCCTTTCCCTACGTCTCCGGTCCGGTCTCCCTCCTTCCTTCTCATCCCTCACCCCTGCTCTCTGCTTTCAGCCCGGGGTAGATGTTGGTCACTGCCTAGTACTATTAGTAGCTTCGACTAGGTAGGGAACCTCGCATTTCAATACCACCACCACCGAGACCCCCGCCAACTTTTTCCCTGACGCAAAGAGAAAGAAGCACGTCGGGTCTGACAGACTGCAAGAACGCCTTGGGACACCGCCGCCTCGAACCTTCCCATACGGATTTCTTTATATTTGCACCCGCCTACTCCCTTTCCCTTCAATTCCGCGATTGTTCGTCGGAATTCAACCAGACGAGGCGTCTCCCTTCAAAGCATTCCAACGAACCGACCACCGACTCCCTTGGTGTACGACCCTCCTTCCCATGGTACACTGAAAAAGGAACCAAAGTCCTCACCCGGCGACGATCCCAGTTCATCAGCGCCGCCCTCGCCTGAAATTACGCACCTTCGCCGTCACCCGCTTTTCTTTGCTCACCCTCACAGTCGCGCACTTGAATTCCACTCACGGAAACCTTTTCTGCTTTTCTTCTCCTTCCATATCGACGAAACATTTACCCCGTCTTCTCACATCGTCGCCCAGAATGTCTGACGACCACCGCACCGAGCGAGCGGGCTCTTTCGCCTCATCCTCCACCGACGCCGCAACTCTCCACGAGCTGACCAAGTTGGATCCGATGGAGGATAGCGTCCATAACCTCAAGTCGCAAGACGATGAGGAGGTGGGCACCCAGGAGGATGAGAAGCTCCTGCCAAAGGCGAATGAGAAGGAGGAACCCCAGAAGTCCAGTCTGACTTCAGCCATCGTCTGGATGACCGTCAACACCTTGGCGACGATTGGAATCGTAAGTCTCCCATCACAGCCTTTGGTACTCTTGAAAGAGGGGGAAAAAACAAAACAACACATACTAACCATACCTGTCCTCAGGTCTTCACAAACAAAGCCATCTTCTCCGATCCCCAGTGGAAGCTCTGCCAGCTCACATTCGCGAGTTTCCACTTTCTAGTGACCTTTGGCACGCTGTTCGTCCTCTCACGCCCTACTTTTGCGTACTTCACCCCGCGCCGCGCCGCCATTAGGGACTTGCTGCCGTTGTCTGTGGCCATGTGCCTCAACGTCATCTTGCCGAACCTCTCGCTGGCCTTTTCTTCGGTGACATTCTATCAGATTGCCCGGATCCTGCTGACGCCGACCGTCGCGCTCATGAACTATGTGCTCTATAAGGCGACACTGCCCAGGAATGCGATATTGGCGCTTATTCCGGCATGCTTCGGAGTCGGCATGGTTTCTTACTACGACTCCCTGCCTACCAAGGACGACAAGGTCAAGACGACTTCCACCTTGGGTGTCTTCTTCGCCTTTTCTGGCATTTTCGCTTCGTCTCTCTACACTGTCTGGATCGCCAGCTACCACCGTAAGCTGCAGATGTCCAGCATGCAGCTTTTGTACAACCAGGCCCCCATCGCCTCCTTCATGCTCCTCTACATCATCCCCTTTGTCGATACTTTCCCCGACTGGGTCAACGTCCCTGGCAACCGCTGGATCATGATTGGAATGGTTTGCTCTCCCTGTTGGTAATTTTTTTTGGTCCACTTGCTGATTATGGATAAACAGTCTGGCGCTTTCGCCTCGCTCATTAACATTTCTCAATTCTTCATCATCGCCCAGACCGGTCCGGTGTCGAGCACCGTTGTCGGCCATCTCAAGACTTGCACCATTGTTGCCCTTGGCTGGATGGTTTCAGGCAGAGCCATTGGCGACAAGTCTGTTCTTGGTGTCTTTGTCGCCATTGGTGGCATCATTGCGTGAGTTGTGAATTGAGCACTCGGCATGTGAACACTCTGCTAACAATCGGCCTAGCTACTCCGTCGTCATGCTTCAACACCAGCGCAACCAGCGCAAGTAGGACACCAGCATTTCAGCGGTGGCTTTTTGTTGACTTCATAACAACTCAGAAACGGTTTCTTTTTTTGGCAGCATGGGGATCATGGGGATCAGGATGGCGTTGAGCAAAATGAGACCGTCAGAATTAGACAGGGTCTATTTGGGATGATACCTCTTTACATGAACCCAAACCTATCATGGCTCGGCGTCTGGGGAACAAATCACTCGAATTAGTAGCAAGGGAAAATTCAAGAAATTTTCGTTTCCCATCCAGTGCCAGACGCACCTCGTTTCCCCTTTTTCTATTGTGATAACGCGAAACGGCATTTCTATAACCCAATTTACCTTTATTTTGGTCGAGCCAAATAATAACGCCATACGTGGGTACTTCCTGGCCAACAACACAATGCATCACTGCCTCTGACACACCGCTTCCTCAATCTCGACATTCGCGGCCACGGTGAGCAGAATGGGGAGGGGGGGGGGGGGGTTTCACACCTGGAATCGCCTGCCCTTCCCCCTCTTGCCCTCCCCCCCCCGCCGCGCACACCCCCCCCCCCCCCCCCCCCCCCCCCGCCCCCCCCCGGGGGGGGGGGGGGGGGGGGGGGGGGGGGGGTTTACAACTGGAATCGCTTCCGGTCCTTCTCCATCTTGGCCTTCCACTCCCACGGCTGCGAATCCTCGCCCTCGCTGCCCGCCCTGCCGATACCCTTGTCGACCCGTCTCAGCTTAGCCGTGAACCGCGGACCAACCTCCTGCAGGCCGACGCGGATGCCCTCGACACCCTTCATCTCGGACCCCTCTGCCGTGGTGATATTCTTCTCCGTCTCGCGCTTCTCGCGGAAGACGTAGCGGTGGCGCCGGAAGAAGAGGTAGTCGCGCTGGTTGTGCACCGTCAGGACCTGGCGGCCCTCGAGCTCGGGCTGCGGGGGGAAGAGGCGCTGGAAGAGGGCGGCCGTGAGCATGCCCAGCGGGGTCTTGAAGTTGTTGAGGAGGAGCTCCGGGTAGTGGTTCGTCGGGTTGCCGTGGCCGGGCAGCTTCTTGCCTTCCATGAAGTTTGTAATCGTAAAGGAAAAGGTCGGACCGGCGGGGAGGTGGACGATGGACATGCCCGTCAGCTTCTTCTGGTCCTCCTTGAGCAGGACGACGGCGGTGTAGTCGCGGTTGGCGGCGAATTTAGAGATCTCGCGGAGGGAGTACTTGTGACCGTAGCGGTGGGCGGAGCGGGGCACGTAGGTTGAGTTGGGGAAGACGGTGCGGAAGATGTCGGCCTCGTGGTGCAGCGTCGAGTTGAGCGAGGTGGTGATGAGGATCTTGGGCGGCGGGGGCGCGTCTTCGGTGAAGAGGCTCGGGAACTTGAGGGCGAGGGAGGACGGTGTGAGGTCGAGGTTTGTCGACGTCGTCGACGGCGCGGCGGAGGAGTCCCGCTTCGCGCGGCGCTTCTCCTCGCGCCGCCTCTCTCTCTCCGCCTTTTTCTCCTCGGCCGCCTCGTCGTCCGAGTCCAGCATACTATCATTATCGCTATCGTCTTCGTCTCGTTCACCATCCTCGTCGTCGAGCTCCTGTTCCAGCGCCGCGTTCTCCTCCTCTTCTATCCTTCTCTTCTTGAGCTTCTCGACGTCTACCACGTTGCCCAGGCTGTCATCGTCGACATCGTCCCAGATGCGCTTGCTGTCGAGCGTCTTGGGCTTGTTCTTTGCAAGGCGCGCGGCGCGGAGCTCGGGGTCCTTGTCCTCCTCCTTCTTGCGGCGGAAGCGCATCTCACGCTGGGCCTTGTCCTTGTCCTTCTTCTGCAGGACGTACATCTCCTTGCGCTTGAGCTTGTTGGACGTTTTGTTCGTCAGCGAAGCCCCCATGGCCTTGCCCGGCTTGGAGAAGCCCATCTTGGAGAGATTGACTTTTTTGTTTCGCTTCGATCGCTGATTGTGGCTTTCTCCGTTGAGTCCGTAATGAATTGAACGGTGAAATGATCTCGTCGTCAAAGATTTCGGGGTAGTTCGAGTTGGGTATCTGTCGCAAAGAAATGATGCTATACAAGTTCGTCGTTTACCAGCAGAAAAAAAGGTAGAATGGCTCTGTGAAAATCAGCTTTGGAGAAATTTTGGCGGGGCACCGACCAATCCCTGCAGCAGATGCATTTCAGATGGATCCCGACGTTCGACTTGCGGGGGCGCCAGGGATTGTCGTCCTCAACCACTGTTGGTTAGTCGGCGAATTCAATGATCCGTGGTTCCACATCATTGACCAAAAAACTTTCCCATCCCCACCCCACCGCCTGGTGCCCTGCCGGTCTGCGGCTGCGGGACAGAGGGGTCCGTCCGGTGCCTGGCCTGGCGCGGATCTTAACGACGGGGCCACCGACAGACCACCTCGGGATACCTGGAATTGGAGGATAGAACTTTTTTTTTGTCCACCTAACTCGCCTGCGAGGGGTGTGATAACGAAGGGGCAGACGAAGATTGACATCGACCACCACGCTCACTCACACACAAACCACCCCCTCCATAGCCCGCACTCTGCACTCTGCACGCACTCTGTTCCGGGCGTTTTTCAATTGAGCCTGCCTTCCAGGTTAGCCGTCGATAGGTATTCCTCTAGCTACAGCAGGGCACTCAGAGAGGTACAGGGAGCTGCAGCAGTGACTCCGTTCCCCCCCCAGATGACTCACGCTCTCTAAACAACCCCACCAAACGATCGAGCAGATGAAGCCCTTTCGCTTTGTTGCATACCAGTCACCTTCAATTCGTTCCACAGCTAGCTTCTGTGCAGTTCGGCCGGTAGCTTTTTTCCACTGCCACCGCCGTTACCCCTCCCCCTCCTTGCTTTCCTCCCGCTCCCACTACCCAAACTCCTCCCACCACCGCACCCTCACCACCACCCGTCACGTCTCCCGGGCACAAGTCCTCGTACCCTCGAAAAAGAACAAGCCCTCGTCCGCCGCCGCGTCCTCCAAGATGACGACCACCGCGACGACCCTCAAGGGTCAGCCTCTCGACAGGCAGACCCTCGACGCCATGCTGCGTCGACGTCTCTTCTTCACCCCGGCCTTTGAGATCTACGGCGGCGTCGCTGGCCTCTTCGACTACGGCCCCCCGGGTTGCGCCTTGCAGGCCAACATCGTCGAGACATGGCGCAAGCACTTTATCCTCGAGGAGGACATGCTCGAGATCGACACCACCGTTCTGACCCCGCACGAGGTCCTCAAGACCTCTGGCCATGTTGACAAGTTCGCCGACTGGATGTGCAAGGACCCCAAGAACGGCGATATCCTGCGCGCCGACCACTTCGTCGAGGACGTTCTCGAAGCCCGCCTCAAGGGTGACAAGGAGGCCCGCGGCCAAAAGGTTGAGGAGGACGACGACCCCAAGAAGAAGAAGAAGAGAAAGACAAAGACCGAGGCCGTCAAGCTCGACGACGCCGTCGTCCAGGAGTACGAGGAGATCTTGGCCAAGATCGACAACTACAACGGCGAGGAGCTCGGTGAGCTCATCAAGAAGTACGACCTCAGAAACCCCAATACTGGCATCCAGCCCTCGCCCCCCGTCGCCTTCAACCTCATGTTCCAGACCGCCATCGGCCCCAGCAGCAACCTTCCCGGTTACCTGCGCCCCGAGACCGCCCAGGGCCAATTCCTCAACTTTGCCAAGCTCCTCGACTTCAACATGCAGCAGATGCCCTTCGCCTCGGCCTCCATCGGCAAGTCCTACAGAAACGAAATCTCCCCGCGCGCCGGTCTCCTGAGAGTGCGCGAGTTCCTCATGGCCGAGATCGAGCACTTTGTCGACCCCGAGGGCGGCAAGAAGCACATTCGCTTCCCCGAAATCGACACCGTCGAGCTCACCCTTCTGGACCGCCACACCCAGCTGGCTGGCAAGACCGCGGTCAAGAAGATGACCATTGGCGACGCCGTGAGCAACAAGGTAGTCGACAACGAGACCCTCGGCTACTTCCTCGCCCGCATTCACCTCTTCCTGCAAAAGATTGGTGTCGACATGACCAAGGTCCGCTTCCGCCAGCACATGGAGAACGAGATGGCCCACTACGCCGCCGACTGCTGGGACGCCGAGCTCCTCACCTCCTCCGGCTGGATCGAGTGCGTTGGCTGCGCTGACCGTAGCGCTTACGACCTTTCCGTCCACGCCAAGAAGACTGGCGCCCCCCTCGTCGTGCGCGAGCGCCTGGACGAACCCCTCATCTTCGAGGAGTGGCAGGTTGAGATTGACAAGAAGAAGTTTGGTCCCCAATTCAAGAAAGACGGCAAGACCGTCGAGGCCGCCCTCGAGGGAACCACCCAGGAGCAGCGCGAGAAGCTCGCCAAGCAGCTCACCGACAGCGGCGAGCTGGAGCTTGAGGTTGCCGGCGTCGGCAACGGCACGGTCAAGGTCAGCAAGGACCTTGTCAAGATTGAGTTCAGAAAGCGTGTCGAGAACACCAGGGAGTTCACCCCCAACGTCATCGAGCCTTCCTTTGGTATCGGCCGTATTCTGTACTCTTTAATTGAGCACGTCTACTGGAACCGCGCCACCGAGGATGGTGGTGACGAGGCCCGTGGAGTAAGTGACCATCAATCAACTGTGTTGAGAGATAATAACAACAAGGCAAATTGCTAATCAAACGAACCCAGGTCCTCTCCTTCCCTCCAACAGTCGCCCCTACAAAGGTCCTGATTGTGCCCCTGTCGGCCAACAAGCAGTTCCAGCCCTTTGTCAGCAAGATCTCGCAGAAGCTGCGCAAGTTCGGCATCTCGGCTCGCGTGGACTCGTCTTCCGCCACCATCGGCAAGCGTTACAGCCGCAACGACGAGCTCGGCACGCCGCTGGGCATCACCATTGACTTCCAGACCGTCCAGGACAGCACCATCACGCTCAGAGACCGTGACTCGACCAAGCAGGTCCGCGCCGACGAGGACACCATCGTCGCGGCGATCCAGAGCCTTGTTACGGGCGCCAAGGAGTGGAAAGACATTGCGGCTGAGCTTCCTGCGTTTGAGGGCCAAGAGGTTGATGTTGCCGTCCGGTAGAGGCAGCAAGAAGAAGAATTTCATATGGATACCATGTTTTTTTGTCATAATGGGCTTCTCTGTAGTATACCTACAGATACAGATGGAGAGACAGAGAGGGAGGGGGGGGAGACGCGGTGAAAAGTCTGTAAAAGGAAGAAAAAGTCGCCAATGTGCGGCATCTGTAGACAATCTCAATTGAGCCCTGTGCATTTGATCATTCCTCTCACGTCGTCAATGCGTTCATCATACGTTACAGTGTGAGATATTGGGAGATGTTTGAAGCCCTTCATGTCCCCGTCGCATCTTGTTATCTAGGTCGGGTTTTAAGATGTGATGGAGTGTGAAAAGTATTGGTAGATCGGTGTACACACACCGCCTTTCAGCGTCGAGAAGGTTCCTTTGCCAGCAAGAGAGATGGAGGCTTTGTGTTGGCCAGCTAGCAACCAGGTCCTCGGGGTTATATGTCGTGTGATGATGATGGGAGATGTTGCCACTTTTTAAACTACAAGTTGCTAGCAAGGTAGGCGAAAGCATAAGCCTCTAATTTGTACAAGGGAAAAGGATGGAGATGAGACTCTCGACCGTCACCCCTGCCCTTTGAGAATCATCATTGCCGCCATACTTTTACCTTTGTATTTCCACCCGTCGTCTGGCTGGATTAGGGATACTTGTCTCCGGATCATTGGGTCTCTAGATGGCAACCAAACACAGAGACTGAGGCGTAATTGTTCATGCAAAGGGGCTACTTTCAGAGGTTAGAGCCTAAGTCCCCCTCCCCTTCCTATTGTATGCCACGCTACTATTATGTAGAGACTCTACCCAGGATGGGTCGGGTTAGGAGATTTTTTGGGTCGTGTGAACAGGCACGTGACGGGTGAGAGGCAGACGGGGCCCGGGTTTCCGTAAGTGGATCCTCCGGACCAGAGAGGTGACCACCGGGTGTACGAGGGCCGTAACGGCGGCAGTGGCACTTTTGCCTGTTCAAGTTTTTTCTCGCAACGTAGATCTGTAGGACGTTTCCCTCCACCACGTCCCAACGAATAAATCGCATGGCACCATTCGCAGCACACGTGAGATCGGGTAAATATGTATGGCGACTAAAATGAGCAAGTAGAAAAAAACGGCAAACATGCATTTTGGAATTGTTCATGTCGGCGGCACAGTAAAGTGGTTGCGAAGTGGTTGTGACTGGCCAGCAGGTGACGGTCCGGGCAATTAGATGGTTTCAAGATTATAATCTCCGGTACCATTGACATGATCTTCAGAGCCTGGAGTATAACCGAGCCATGAAGTGGAAGGCGACTGCTTAAAGTGACATTTCCAAGGCACAGTTTGATGTGAAGTCGGATGCCAAGCGTGTTGGGCGCCGGGCAAGTCGCCGCGTTCATCAGGTTGATGCGGCCTCAGCGGTAGCGAGCCCGACTCATACCAACTTGTTGGCTACAGCTACAACAGTCGGAATATTACTCATGGACATCTACGAGCAAAATGTACTACGCTTTTCATCGCATCTCATCTATTTCGTCTCGGCATCGACGGGGAAAGGTCGAGGGCGGCTATTTCGATTCGGGCGGCAACGTCAGGTGGGCGAACCGGAGGCTTGAACCTGCGACAGATCCGGCGGGATTGGAAACAAAACTGAGCAGTCTGTCCACGGGCCGTTTCGCTTAATCTTTTGCTGCAGGCTGAGAGGCAACGGTAGACGCGTAACTTGTTCAAATATGTAGGCAAACAGCCAATTGTTTCAAATCCCATACTCCCGTCGAATAAAGATCAACCACTCCATATCGTAAGGGTGACAAGTCACATAGTTACCGTCGCCTCGTCGATGGGCATTCCGTGGACAGGCGGTATTGTTGGGTGCACAGGACGATGAATAACTGATCTGCCAATGGCGTCGCATTCAATAGATCTAGAAACATCAGTGCAGACGATGGGAAATGCGGCCTGGCCTACGTCCTGTGCGGGTATGATGTGCATATCTGTGTTGTATGCAGAACATTGCAGGCTGCCTCCGTTTTGTGCCTTGCTGGGACGGAAAATGCAGTGGAAGATTCCATGGGATGTGAAACACCCCACGGCCGTCGTCATGGGACGGGCGAGTCGTTGACAGGAGGCGTCACCGCAAAACTACATGGTAAGGCAAGTTAATCCCCTTGGGTGGACAGCCTGCCGCTTTCGGGCACACCCAGGTCTGTGGTCTGTGGATGTTTTGGGCCTTGGGCCCCGGAGGGGGGGGGAGGGGGGGCCAAACCATGAGAAACTTCAGAACAGGGTCCTAGGCTGCTTCAATTCGGGCGATGCCGATTTCAGAGGTAGTATGCGATGGAGGTTGGCTATTCTGCACAGTGACTGATAACTCGTTGGAAAACTCGTTGCTCAACGAGTTCCAGAAATGCTTCGGCAGTTTTTCCGCGGCTCAGCTGCAGCCGTGGGTGGTTACAACCAAGCACCGAATTGAGTCTTGGTTCAAAATGCCAACTTCGCATGCTGATGTTCTCAAGAAAAAGGGCAAGTTGGGCCCCATGGGCTTCGTGTCCAGGCCGGGAGGGGCCGAGGGCAAAAAGTCTCTGGAGTCGTGAGACGCGAAAGACTCCTGTTGTTACCTGGTATGAGAAGAAGCAGCATTTCTTCGATTCCTAGCGGCCCAGGAATCCGAAACATCAACAGACCCCTCCCCTCTGTGTTCATTTGTGCATGGCGCTTGTGAGCAGCAGGGAGACATGTCGCTGGCGCGCTTGGGCAACGAAAGGCAAATTTCCCGTTTGCTGTTTGCCTACATAAGATTCGACAGGCTTTGGATGTTTCCAGCTCCACCTCGGAGGTATTGTGTCGGATATATATTAGCCACGAATGTTTGGGTTGCGCCTAGTGTTGTCAAGTTTCGAGGCGTCGATCAGTGGCTGCATGATGCTGGCTACAGTCGGTCGCGACTCGCAGGCCCTTTGTGTGCGAGCCAGTGAACATAGCAGCACTTCCCTCGTCGAGACTGGATGACGGACGGCGGCTTTCTTAGCCTGTGAACTGCCAGTCTAAGCCGTGCTAGATGATGGGGAGGCCGTGCCTGTAACCTCTGGCGTTGCTCACATCGCACGTGCATTGCAAGCTGCCATGGGTTTACCGCTGGCCGCTTCCTGATGTGTGAGCACATTGGCTGTTGAGGCCAACGGGATGAAGTTGAGGATGACGACGGGAACTAGGCTTATGGGAGTACGGGGCCGGCCTTGCTCGCAGTTGGGCGAATCGGTGAGAGGACCGTCTGGCTATGGCAGTCTATTGTTTCTACGTCCGTCTGCTGCGATGGTGGATCAGGGAGCATTGGGTTTCCTTGATGGGGCCAATGGGCCTTGACGTGTTGTGCGCATGACGAAGAGTCGTAAAGTTGCTGTTAAGGTGTCTGTCAAGAGATCGGTGAACCGAGACGAGGCGAAAAAAGTCGGGCTTGATGTCGAGGTCCTCTAGAACAAGACAGGACGACGATGTTTTGCTCGGTTTGGAAGCCGAGGATCCATGTAAATTGCGTCTGGGACGGAGATTCACAGACGCAAGGCCGGAGCGAGGGGGAGGTCAAGAGGACAGGCCGCAAACACGTCCGTTCTAGGGAGCGTAGCGTCGTTCAAACTCGGAGGGGGAAGGGTAACAGTTGGCGGGCTGTTAGAAACGAGAAGGGACGAAGTCGCATGAGGAGGGCTGTTCCTCCGAAGGGTGGATCTTATTCTGCATGGAAGCAGGCGGAAGTGAAGAAGACTGTCACTAGCCGTGTCTGAGAGCTTGGACACGACGCCATTCCCAATTATTCCGTGGCCCATCAGGTTGTTCGGTTCCTGTCCCTCGCTCAAGCGCCTATGCCCACGCGCCACCGGCATCAGCCCTCTTGGTCAGTACCGGGCCAGACAGGCAAACGTGGAGCACTGGTTTCTTCGTTGGGTGTGCAGGTGAGCGGGACCTCCGTATCCCGTACACAGTGCTTCTTTATCGGAAACGAGCCAGCGGGCAATTCGAGGAAACTCAGCCGGGGCTCTTTGGGGGGTTCTTGACCCCCCCGCTATGACGTCCCACCATACGTCCGTATAGGGGGCGAAGTTGTCAGTGTCGGCTGTCGTGCTGTGTGCGTTTAGTATCCACACGGAGCGTGCTGTTGATAGCTCGTTGGGAAAAGGTAGCCTCTCGTTTTCCTTCACGTGACTGCCGCCTCGGGAGGGGAAACAGCCACAGACGAGGTCGATTTGCGGACATTTGAAGCAGCACCTAGCGCACTCGGTGACGGTAGCGGTCGAGCTGGGATCGTCGAGACGGCGCACCAGTTGTAGCAGGACGGTGTCCAGATAGATGGAGAGAGGCGCGATAGCTCAGGGGAAAACCAACAGGCACCACATCTCTGCCCAACCAGAGCAAGCGGAGGTAGAATAGGCAGCCAGGTCGAAGGACTCAGCGACAATCTAACCAGGGCCCGCCATGGAAGAGAGAAAAAGGTTGACGGACCCGTGGGCGAGGCAGGGTCTGTCAAGACTCTAGAGTCGGGAGTTGGGAGTTTGGAGTCGAGAGTCGAGGTCTGAGAGTCGGCGGCGGTCGCCCCCTTCCCCACTACCGCGCGACCCGACATCTTGCATCGTCTCCTCATTCGTCAACCCACACGGGAAGTCTAAGATACTGCCTTCCCTCCACTACCTACTTATGCAGCTTGAGGAAGGTACGTTCATCTTGGTGGTTCGTTCTTTTCTAGATTGACTCCCCCTTACACCTTCCCCGCCTCCTCAAGACGTCTGGCGCTAGCTGAGGTTTGATGTGTGAAGAGGGAAGGAGAGGTCGGACAAGCAGCTGCCAGAGCCTAAGGTAAGGTAGGAGGTACGGATACATTATAGAGGTTCTGCTGCAGAAGAATGTGCAGCTCCCGTCTCCAGCTGGGAAGATCAGGAAGACTTTTTTACTCCGTACGGATACGGATACCTAATAAATGTATCCATAAGGTACTTAGTAATTCTTCAAGTCTTCCTGCCGGTGACCCTCTTGTCATTTCC